GCCCCTGTGGGAATGCGGAGGAGAAGATAAAGAATATAAGTAAGTTGCCCTAGTGGGTAGTTTAGTTGGTCAGAGCATCATCCTGTACACCAAAGGGTTGTGGGTTCAATTCCAGGTCAGGGCATGTGCCTAGGTTGTGGGTTCAATCCTCATTCAGGATGTGTGCAACTGATCAATGTTTTTCTCATCATTGTTTCTCTGTTCCTTCCTCTCTAAAATCAATAGAAACGTATCCTCGGGAGGATTTTAAAAAAGAATGTAAATAAGTCATTGAAACATACAGTGTTTGAGATGGCGAAGAGTGCACAGAGAAAAAGAAAGCAGGAAGGGGTTCACAATGTTGGCGGGGCAGGTGGCCATGGCCCTGGGAAGGCGTCCCAGGGAGGTGTAGTTTGAATGGCCTCAAAGAGTCAAGAGCAAGCCCTGAGGAGAGGCCCCAGGGAGGGAGCGCGCTGATGCACCAAGGCACAGTGGGAAGGCGGCCGTGGAGGAGCCCGGGAGGGGAGGGTAAAGGAGCAGATGGGGCCTGTGGCCAGCATGAGGCCCAGCCCTGCTCCAGGGAAAGGGGTACAGGGATGAAGAGGAGGGGGTTGAGGGCAGGCCCAGATCCTGGAGGAGGTCAGCACGAGGAAGGGCCTGGTCCCTGGGAGCAGTCAAGGCCTGAACGAGCTCTACCACCCTCAAGCTCACCCACTCACCCCCTTGAGGGAGTGTGTGCCCTGATGTCTTTTGTTCTGTCCTAGCTCCACTTTTGTAAGCTTCCTCCTGTCCTTGGAAAGATTGTGGCCTTAAATAAAAGGCCACAATCTGCATCAATGGCAGCCTGCTTCGAGCCATGTGTGTGCTTCGGGTTACTATTTACTGTCAGTTCTTGGTCTCTTCCAGAGTCTGGTGGGCCCTTCATTGACCAGGTTTATGTCCTGCAAAGTTACGTGGAAGGGTGGAAAGAGGGGACCTGGGAAGAGAAGATTGACGACCGACCCTGCATTGATCCGCTGTTGTACTCGCAAGACAAGCACGAGTACTACAGGTACGACCGTGGTAAGCCTTCCACCAGCCTGTGATGGGCCTGAGGTCCCCCAGCACCTGGAGTGCATGTGTGACCACAGACCTCACTCCCCACCTGCCAGCCACTGCTCGGTTCCTGAGGGGAAGGTCTCCTTTCATCCACCCTGCTGGTGCGGCCAGCCTCCTTGTACCCCAGTCACAGGTGCCTCAGGGCAATTTAAAATACCTGATGTTTACCTTTTCCCACATTGTGTTTGAACCAGGTCCTGGGAATGATAGTCTTGTCACTCCAATCGTAAGTTGCCATCAGGAGACCTTCCTGTGGAAGGGCTGTCACTCAGTGGCTTTTGCAACTTGAGTGGCACAGAAGCTCTCTAGAGGAGCATTGTTTAGGGACTGTTACCGTCACGACTCTGGCCCTGAAGCAGGAGGTGTTGTTTCCATCATGTTCCTTTGGCCTGCCTGTTTTCCCATCACTACCGTCCTGATTCCTAAGAAGAGCTATAGTGGTCTCATCAAGTCAGATGAAAGTTACAGTTTCTCTAAAAATGCTCACGAGAATATCACTACCTCTGATCATGATCAGTAAGCTCCCTCTACGAGGAACCCTGCGCTTACCAAGGTCGAGGTGTATGCACGTGCGTCCAGATTGTACTTACTGCCTGTGAAAAACAAACGAAACTAAGGGGTCCCGTGGCTCTTCTTTTCCAGAGGATGGTTTTGGGGTTATGAAGAGACAAGGGGTTTAAACGTTTCCTGTCTGTCCGTTCAAGGATCAGCTTCTATCATTGCGCCTGTGCTTTTGAGAAACACATCAGCACGGTAGGTGCCTGCACCATCCGCTCAGTGAAGGGGGTATGTGTGCGTGTGAGTGTGCACATGTGGGTGTGTGCATGTGTGTACATGCACATGTGCACTGTGTCCTGGTGGCATCAGAACGCCTCCTAGCTGTGGCCCTTGTGCGGTTGCTGGAAAGTTAGACCTTGTTCCTATCCCCACACTCTGCAGTGAGGTGGGACAGGCATTGGGTTCCAGGTGGAGGCTGTGTGTGCCCTTGGGGAGAGGCCAGGAAAGGGCCCCAGGTTTGGCTCAGCAGCACCCACACCCTGAGGCTCTGCTGCGGTGCAGTCTGTCATCCCCACAGGGTGCTCCTTGGAGCCACTGTTCTTTTGAACTGCACGGCAGGGTTCACACTGCTGGTCACACCTGTTTTTTGCATCCATAATCACAAATGGGCTTGGCAACACCCAGCTCAGTGGCTAGGACAGCTGAGACTCTATGAATGCTTAGAATCACTTAGAAGTTAAAATCCTGCCTGAATCATGGCGTGGAGGGCCAGGCAGCTGCCGCCTAGAGGGTCAGCAGGAACTTGCCCACATGCACCCTGATGACACAGGCTAGTGCCCTCCCAGAATGTGTCCCTGGTGGCTCCTGGCCCAGGGCTTCCACTCTGATGCTGCTCTCCGGAGCCTGGGAAAGTAATCATTTATAAAGTTAAACACTTTTCCTGTTGTGGAAAAATTAGGTCCGTGATGTTAGACAGAGCCGAGAACCTCCTTCACGATCGCTACGGAGGAAAGGAGTACTGGGATGTGAGTGCTGCCCACGCGGCATCTTTCTAGATTTTCTCACATTGTTTTGTTTAGTTTTTGAAAATCTCAGATGGTGGAGGTTGGGGT